TGGCAAGAACACCGACCACTCCCACGGCCAGTACTGGCAATAGGACTGCAGGAACCTACCCACATCCTGATTCACCTGTTCTACCTGCCCATTAGATTCGGGGTGAAACCCAGAGGTAAGGCTGACCGAGACCCCCAGATGTTCCATGAACGCCTTCCAGACCCTAGACGTAAACTGGGGACCCCGGTCAGACACTATGTCCTCTGGCACCGCGTAGTGTCAGAAGACATGAGTAAACAGGGCTTCTGCAGTTTGCAGGGCCGTGGGGAGACCGGGCAGAAGAAGGAGGCGGCAGGCTTTAGAGAAGCGATCCACAACGACCAGGATGGTGGTGTTACCCTGAGAGAGGGGAAGATCAGTTAGGAAAATCGATCGATAAATGGGACCATGGCCGTTGTGGAACTGGTAAGGGATGTAACTTACCCGCTGGAAGGTGCCTAGGTGCCTTACTCTGGGCGCACACCGAGCAGGAGGAGACATACACCCTCACGTCCTTAGCCAAGGCAGGCCACCAGTACTTCCCGGTCAGGCAGCGCACTGTACGGACGATGCCTGGGTGAAGAGAGGAGGGAGACGTGTGTGCCCAATAGATAAGATGATCACAGACACTAGACTGCATGTACCAAAGCCCAGCTGGGCACTGAGGTGGAGATGGCTCTGTGCGTAACGCCCGCTCTATGTCCGCGTCCACCGTCCATGTGCCTCAATGTGTTGTCAATGTGCCTCTCCTCTGTGTCGTACAGCCATGACAGTGCGTCTGCCTTCACGTTCTTAATGTACGCTAAAAAAAGTATTTGATCCCTTGCTGATTTTGTACGTTTTCCCACTGACAAAGAAATGATCAGTCTATAATTTTAATGGTAGGTTTATTTAAACAGTGAGAGACAGAATAACAACAAAACAATCCAGAAAAACGCATGTCAAAAATGTTATAAATTGATTTGCATTTTAATGAGGGAAATAAGTATTTGACCCCCTCTCAATCAGAAAGATTTCTGGCTCCCAGGTGTCTTTTATACAGGTAACGAGCTGAGATTAGGAGCACACTCTTAAAGGGAGTGCTCCTAATCTCAGCTTGTTACCTGTATAAAAGACACCTGTCCACAGAAGCAATCAATCAATCAGATTCCAAACTCTCCACCATGTCCAAGACCAAAGAGCTCTCCAAGGATGTCAGGGACAAGATTGTAGACCTACACAAGGCTGGAATGGGCTACAAGACCATCGCCAAGCAGCTTGGTGAGAAAGTGACAACAGTTGGTGCGATTATTCGCAAATGGAAGAAACACAAAAGAACAGTCAATCTCCCTCGGCCTGGGGTTCCATGCAAGATCTCACCTCGTGGAGTTGCAATGATCATGAGAACGGTGAGGAATCAGCCCAGAACTACACGGGAGGATCTTGTCAATGATCTCAAGGTAGCTGGGACCATAGTCACCAAGAAAATAATTGGTAACACACCACGCCGTGAAGGACTGAAATCATGCAGCACCCGCAAGGTCCCCCTGCTCAAGAAAGCACATATACAGGGCCGTCTGAAGTTTGCCAATGAACATCTGAATGATTCAGAGGAGAACTAGGTGAAAGTGTTGTGGTCAGATGAAACCGAAATCGAGCTCTTTGGCATCAACTCAACTCGCCGTGTTTGGAGGAGGAGGAATGCTGCCTATGACCCCAAGAACACCATCCCCACCGTCAAACATGGAGGTGGAAACATTATGCTTTGGGGTGTTTTTCTGCTAAGGGGACAGGACAACTTCACTGCATCAAAGGGACGATGGACGGGGCCATGTACCGTCAAATCTTGGGTGATGGCCTCCTTCCCTCAGCCAGGGAATTGAAAATGGGTCGTGGATGGGTATTCCAGCATGACAATGACCCAAAACACACGGCCAAGGCAACAAAGGAGTGGCTTAAGAAGAAGCACATTAAGGTCCTGGAGTGGCCTAGCCAGTCTCTAGACCTTAATCCCATAGAAAATCTGTGGAGGGAGCTGAAGGTTCAAGTTGCCAAACCTCAGCCTCGAAACCTTAATGATTTGGAGAAGATCTGCAAAGAGGAGTGGAACAAAAATCCCTCCTGAGATGTGTGCAAATCTGGTGGCCAACTACAAGAAACGTCTGACCTCTGTGATTGCCAACAAGGGTTTTGCCACCAAGTACTAAGTCATGTTTTGCAGAGGGGTCAAATACTTATTTCCCTCATTAAAATGCAAATCAATTTATAACATTTTTGACATGCGTTTTTCTAGATTTTTCTCTCACTGTTCAAATAAACCTACCATTAAAAGTATAGACTGATCATGTTTTTGTCAGTGGGCAAACGTACAAAATCAGCAGGGGATCAAATACTTTTTTCCCTCACTGTACATGACTCCTGGGAGGCACAGCGTCTAACCGGAGGTATATCGCGCAATCCCATCGCCCGATGGGGTGATAATTTGGTCGCCTGCATTCTGGAAAAAGTGTGCGCCAAATCAAGGTATTCGGGGGGGATGCGCACGGTGGAAACATTGTCTAGACTTTCCACTGTGGTCGCACCAACGGAAACAGCTAGACACCAACCCTGACACTCTCGCGACCACCCCGTGAGAACCCTCTGCGGCCATTAAAAGGTGGGGTCGTGTAGTGCTAGCCAGGGAAGGCCCAACACAACAGGGAAATCAGGGGACTCAAGAATATGAAAGGTGATTTGCTCCTTAAGGGTCTCCTGTGTAATCATAGTGACTGGTGCTGTAACCTCCCTAACAAAACCTTACCCTAATGGTCGACTGTCAAGTGCTTTGATGGGCAATGGAATGGACAGGGGAACCAATGTAATATGTAGACTAAGAGCTAAATACCTGTCCATAAAGTTCCCAGCTTCGCCTGAATCTACTAGCGCCTTACACTGGTGACCTACCGTGTAATCAGGGAAGTGGACGTGGATGGTTAACTGTGCAGCAGAGGGCTCTGAACGAATGTGGATTTGTACTCCCTGGGGTGACGTGAGAGTGCCCTGTCTGCCGCCTCCAGAACCAGAAGAACTCTGACGACATCGTGCAGCAGAATGTCCTCTTCTGCGACAAGAGTGACACTGGATCTGTCGTCCTCTGTTCTTCTGGACCGCTGCACCACCCAGCTCCATCGGAACGTGAGCCGGGGTGAGGGAGGGGGGGGGGGGGGGTGAAACGGGCAGGCCCCTTCCAGGACGTCCTCTCGAAGCCAGCAGGTTGTCCAACCAGTTGGTCGAAGGTCAGAGTGGTATCCCCGCAGGCTAGCTTCCTTCGGACATCCTCATGCAGGCTGCATCGGAATTGGTCGATGAGGCACCGCTCGTTCCATCCGGTCCCAGCCGCTAGAGTTCTAAACTCCAGGGCAAAGTCTTGCGTGGTCCTTGTCCCCTGCCTCAGATGGTACAGACGCTCGCCCGCCTCTCTTCCTTCGGGGGGATGATCAAAGACTGCCCGGAAGAGGCTAGCGAACTCTCTGTAGTTGTCCAACACATCTCCTCCTTCACTCCAGACCGCGTTGACCCACTCCAGGGCTTTCCCCGAGAGGCAGGAGACGAGGGCGGACACCTTCTCCCGATCCGATGGAGCAGGGTTGATGGTGTTGAAATAGAGGTCCAGCTGCAGGAGGAAACCCTGGCAGCGGGCAGCTGTCCCATCGTATTCCCTCGGTCGAGAAAGGTGAATACCACTGGGTGCTGGTATGTGGATGGCTGGATCCGGTCGCTCAGCTGGTTCCGCAGGGTCGGGTCCTCTCCTCTCCAGGCGCTGGAAGGCCTGGAGAACCCAATCCATCGCTTCGCCCAAGCTGGCTAATATATTGGAATGCTCCCAGACCCGCTCAAAGACTCCAGGCATATTCCCCGCTCCTGCTGATGTGTTATTCTGTAGCGGGTGATTCGGACGGAGTCAGGCGCTGGAGGTGTGAATCACAGAATATGGTTTATTCGTCCAATACAGCAGTTAGCAGCAATGCGTAAACCAAATACAGTGCGCCTTCAATGCGTACTGGGAAAACAAAAACACACAGGTGAATATCCCGGCGATAAAAGTACATCATGCTCAACCAAGCTAGCGACACCTCCACATGGAATCAATAACACACAAAGACATGGGGAGCAGAGGGAATACTTATACAGAGACTGATGAGGGGATATGAACCAGGTGTGTGTGAAAAACAAGACAAAACGAAAAGAGGAGCGGCAGTGGCTAGAAGGCCGGTGACAAATGCCGAAGCCTGCCCGAACAAGGAGAGGAGGCAGCTTCGGAGGAAGTCGTGACACTATGAGGCCTTTCGTTTTGTATCTTTAGCTTGGTAATGCCTGTTTGTAGTTTTGTATATATTTGTTTCAGTCACCATCTGAACATAACTTCCAACAGCATGTAAAAGAATAGGTAAACATAGTTTCCACTGCCATATCCTTCCTCAGCCTCTTCAAACCAAAGACCATTTAGACATAACAATATCAACCCTCCTTGGACTGGATACAAGTTAATAACTAAATACTGGTATTGACCATTCCATGTAGGACGTGACAGTACGAGGGAAACACTGTTTTTTAGGTGACAGGGGTGACAAAAACATACAAATCCCTTTAACAATGACACAAATCAATTAAAACAAAAGGTGTACAATTATTTTGATTAAAATTCTCTCAACTAAAAAAAGCTAAGAAATCACCTTCAGAAAGATAGTTCCAAAATGACTTCACAGTCTTCATGATATTAATGCATTTAGTCTTTAATGGTTTAGTACAGTATCTCAAATCCCAGTAGATCTCATCTTGAAAGCAAATGTCATCAGGAGCATCCCCCCAGATAGGTAACCTCAGGATACAGCCTAGGTACAAACACAACATCCTCTTCTCACCAACATTGAGTACACGATTGAGTACATGTAGCAATTATTCAAAAACACCACCACAGCCACACAATACTACAATATAACAGTAACTTGGCAGCTATCTTGTAACCTGTTCTCATTAAAACACGCATGCACGCACACACACACACAGAGCCCTGCTGCCTGGTGTCCTCCCTGCCGGGTCGGCACCATGTCTTTCCATTCCCCCGTAAAGTCAAACGTGTTTATCAACCTATTTAAAAACAAGATTGTTACTCTATATCAGTAAGTCAAAGGAAAATATCACATTTGGAAGCGGCAACAACTGAGCAGACTTTCTTTTTATTGCCGCAGTATTCTTGTTGCCCAGCTGCTGTGCCACTACTGCATGTGCATAATAATGACATTAGATGAGTTCATCACGTTAAAGCTGCCAATTAGGCCTAAAACTGGTGCAGATTGAAATAATAACAGGCCATTGGTTGGGCATACGGTTGTAACGTGTGAACTCACCCCTCCTTGCCATAGACCACTTCACTGGCGGCTGTAGCAGTGATGGCGCCCACGATGCCCCCTATGACCCCAGGCATGGCGTGGAGGTTGTGGATGCCACACGTGTCATGGATCTTCAGATACTTCTCCATGAACGGCTGAGGGGACAGAGACACATAGCTAGCTACATGCCCACTAATCAAATAGGAGTTGCCTAGTCATAAGCAACTTACTTGTCACTACTGTACTAGCCTTCACTGCATTCAGTAAGCACATTTTGTGAAATGTTGCAGATCAAAAACTCATGAATAAAACTGATGTGACTCCATATTCTACATTACCGTGATGTAGATATAGCCCAGGGTGGAGATGATGCCACAGCAGAACCCTACGATCTGAGACCCATAAGGCATTAGCATGAACTCTGCTGCCATTCCCACGGCAACGCCCCCAGCCAGTGTGGCGTTCTGGATGTGAACCTGGAACACAGGAACAGAAATTGGCCAGTGGCTTGAGTGGAGATAATGAGGAAGTGGGTATGACCATACTCCAATGACCATAGGAGTTGGCAGGACAGCACAAACAGATCTGGAACCAGGCTAATGTACAGTACCAGTGAAAAGTTTGGACACACCTACTCATTCCAGGGGTTCTTTATTTTTTACTATTTTCTACATTGTAGAATAATAGTGAAGACATCAAAACTATGAAATAACACATATGGAATCATGTACATTTTTACATTTACATTTTGGTCATTTAGCAGACGCTCTTAACCAGAGCGACTTACAGGAGCAATTAGGGTTAAGTGCCTTGCTCAAGGGCACATTTACGTCATTTAGCAGACACTCTTATCCAGAGCGACTCACAAATTGGTGCATTTGCCCTATAGCCAGTGGGATAACCACTTTACAATTTTTTTTTGGGGGGGGGGGGTAGAAGGATTACTTTATCCTATCCCAGGTATTCCTTAAAGAGGTGGGGTTTCAAATGTCTCCGGAAGGTGGTGAGTGACTCCGCTGTCCTGGCGTCGTGAGGGAGCTTGTTCCACCATTGGGGTGCCAGAGCAGCGAACAGTTTTGACTGGGCTGAGCGGGAACTATGCTTCCGCAGAGGAAGGGGAGCCAGCAGGCCAGAGGTGGATGAACGCAATGCCCTCGTTTGGGTGTAGGGACTGATCAGAGCCCGAAGGTACAGAGGTGCCGTTCCCCTCGCTGCTCCATAGGCAAGCACCATGGTCTTGTAACGGATGCGAGCTTCAACTGGAAGCCAGTGGAGTGTGCGGAGGAGGGGGGTGACGTGAGAGAACTTGGGAAGGTTGAACACCAGACGGGCTGCGGCATTCTGGATGAGTTGTAGGGGTTTAATGGCACAGGCAGGGAGGCCAGCCAACAGCGAGTTGCAGTAATCCAGACGGGAGATGACAAGTGCCTGGATTAGGACCTGTGCCGCTTCCTGTGTAAGGCAGGGTCGTACTCTCCGAATGTTGTAGAGCATGAACCTGCAGGAGCGGGTCACCGCCTTGATGTTAGCGGAGAACGACAGGGTGTTGTCCAGGGTCACGCCAAGGCTCTTCGCACTCTGGGAGGAGGACACAACGGAGTTGTCAACCGTGATGGCGAGATCATGGAACGGGCAGTCCTTCCCCGGGAGGAAGAGCAGCTCCGTCTTGCCAGGGTTCAGCTTGAGGTGGTGATCCGTCATCCATACTGATATGTCTGCCAGACATGCAGAGATGCGATTCGCCACCTGGTTATCAGAAGGGGGAAAGGAGAAGATTAGTTGTGTATCGTCAGCGTAGCAATGATAGGAGAGGCCATGTGAGGATATGACAGAGCCAAGTGACTTGGTGTATAGGGAGAAAAGGAGAGGGCCTAGAACTGAGCCCTGGGGAACACCAGTGGTGAGAGCACGTGGTGCGGAGACAGCTTCTCGCCACGCCACTTGGTAGGAGCGACCGGTCAGGTAGGACGCAATCCAGGAGTGAGCCGCGCCGGAGATGCCCAGCTCGGAGAGGGTGGAGAGGAGGATCTGATGGTTCACAGTATCAAAGGCAGCAGACAGGTCTAGAAGGACAAGAGCAGAGGAGAGAGAGTTAGCTTTAGCAGTGCGGAGAGCCTCCGTGACACAGAGAAGAGCAGTCTCAGTTGAATGACCAGTCCTGAAACCTGACTGGTTTGGATCAAGAAGGTCATTCTGAGAGAGATAGCAAGAGAGTTGGCCAAAGACGGCACGCTCAATAGTTTGGAAAGAAAAGAAGAAGGATACTGGTCTGTACTAGGTTTGGATCAGAAGTCATTCTGAGTAGAGATAGCAGAGAGAGTGGGGTCCTCGTTGTTTTCTTTTATCTGAGCTTTATTGGGGAAAGGATTTACTTGGGTCTGAGGCGTTTTGAGTAAAGCAGTTTTGTCTTGCATGTTCATTTATGTATCTTATCTGACGATACAACATGCAGAGGCGATTGTGGTTTATTGAGGGGGGGTTTTTGTTTGTGGTCATGTGGGGGGGGTTTGGATTGGATGTGGTCTTGTTTTTTTGGAGTTATGAAGGGTCTAGATGAGGTGGGGACCAGTTTTGTGAGGATGTTGGCGAGTCAGCTTTGTGTTCATTGTAGTGGACGGTGTATGCGATTTTTGTTTGGGTTTTTTGTTGTCTCGTATTGTTATGAGTTTTGAGTATTCTGATGGTGTTATGTATCAGGTGCTTTTATTTTATTGTATGTGTTTCTTGTTATTGTTAGAGGGTAGGTGGTTAGTTTTACGTGGGAGATGTGTTGGGTTAAGTTTAGTTATGCTTGTCTAATATTTTATGTTTTGTTCAGGGGTTTTTTTTTTTTTGTCAAGCGGGCAGGTTGTTGGGCGGCCTGCAGTCACAAGTCGCAGGATTTTATCTGGAGAGAGAGGGGAGAAAAGAAGTCAAAGCATAGGGTAGGGCAGTGTGAGTAGGACCAGCAGTGTCATTAGACTTAACAAACGAGGATCGGATGTCGTCAACCTTCTTTTCAAAGTGGTTGACGAAGTCATTCCACAGAGAGAGAGGAGGGGGGGGGGGGGGGGGGGAGGATTCAGGAGGGAGGAAAATGTGGCAAAGATCTTCCTAGGGTTAGAGGCAGATGCTTGGAATTTAGAGTGGTAGAAAGTGGCCTTAGCAGCAGAAACAGATGAAGAAAATGTAGAGAGGAGGGAGTGAAAAGATGCCAGGTCGGCAGGGAGTTTAGTTTTCTTCCATTTCCGCTCCGCTGCCCGGAGCTCTGTTCTGTGAGCTCGCAATGAGTCATCAAGCGACGGAGCTGGAGGGGAGGACCGAGCCGGCCGGGAGGATAGGGGACACAGAGAGTCAAAGGATGCAGAAAGGGAGGAGAGGAGGGTTGAGGAGGCAGAATCAGGAGATTGGAGGGAGAAGGATTGAGCAGAGGGAAGAGATGATAGGATGGAAGAGGAGAGAGCAGTGGGAGAGAGAGAGCGAAGGTTGCGGCGGCGCATTACCATCTGTGTAGGGGCAGAGTGAGTAGTGTTGGAGGAGAGCGAGAGAGAAAAGGAAACAAAGTAGTGGTCGGAGACATGGAGGGGAGTTGAAGTGAGATTAGTAGAAGAGCAGCATCTAGTAAAGATGAGGTCAAGCGTATTGCCTGCCTTGTGAGTAGGGGGGGACGGTGAGAGGGTCAGGTCAAAAGAGGAGAGGAGTGGAAAGAAGGAGGCAGAGAGAAATGAGTCAAATGTGGACATAGGGAGGTTGAAATCCCCCAAAACTGTGAGGGGTGAGCCATCCTCAGGAAAGGAACTTATCAAGGCGTCAAGCTCATTGATGAACTCTCCAAGGGAACCTGGAGGGCGATAGATGACAAGGATATTAAGCTTAAATGGGCTAGTGACTGTGACAGCATGGAATTCAAATGAGGAGATAGACAGGTGGGTTAGGGGAAAAATTGAGAATGTCCACTTGGGAGAGATGAGGATTCCTGTACCACCACCCCTCTGACCAGATGCTCTCGGGGTATGCGAGAACACATGGTCAGACGAGGAGAGAGCAGTAGGAGTAGCAGTGTTTTCAGTGGTAATCCATGTTTCTGTCAGCGCCAGGAAGTCGAGGGACTGGAGGTTAGCATAGGCGGGGATGAAGTCAGCTTTGTTGGCAGCAGAACGGCAGTTCCAGAGGCTGCCTGAGACCTGGAACTCCAGGTGTGGGGTGCGTGCAGGGACCACCAGGTTAGAGAGGCAGCAGCCACGCGGTGTGAGGCGTTTGTGTAGCCTGTGCAGAGAGGAGAGAACAGGGATAGGCAGAGGCATAGTTGACAGGCTGTAGCAAATGGCTACAATAATGCAGAGGAGATCGGAATGAAATGAACTAAACATCTGGGAGAGGAGAGAGCAGGGCCTCCCTCACCAAAACTTCCACCTCAGAAACTATAATTGTTTCACTGAACCACCCGAACAAAAACTCTCCCAACTTCCACCTTTAGAAATCAGAATTGTTGTGAACCACAGCGGTCCAATGTTTAAAGGAATAGACTCAACCCACTTTATTCAGCTAGCTAACTATGACACCATAGCTAACTAGCATGCTAGCATCCAATAACACACAGTTTAGCACCAACACTTGGTCACAACAAACCACCAATAGTGTGTTAACACACTAAGCAGATAATTCGTGTCCGTGTCTAGTTCCTTTCATAACGCAGCAATAATTAAACGATGGCTAGCTTAGCACAAATATATTGTATTTAGCTGCCACAGTACAGCACACAATGGCTACTGTGTTGACTCTGTTCGAAAAAGCTACCTTCGTGCTACACCCGGCACCGCACCCGGCACTGCCGAAGACAATGCCAACCTACAGTAACTACCCACAACAGCCCACGATGCCTAACTATGACACCATAGCTAACTAGCATGCTAGCATCCAATAACACACAGTTTAGCACCAATACTTGGTTACAACAAACTACCAATAGTGTGTTAACACACTAAACAGATCATTCGTGTCCGTGTCTAGTTCCTTTCATAACGCAGCAATAATTAGACGTTGGCTAGCTAGCACAAGTATATTGTATTTAGCTACTACAGTACAGTTAGCTGGTCGTGTTGGCTAGCTAGCAATGGCTACTGTGTTGACTTTGTTTGAAGAACGGCTAGCTAGCTAGCTTCGTGCTACACCCGGCACTGCCGAAAAACAATGCTAACCTACAGTAACTACTCACAACAGCCCACGATGCCTAACTATGACGCCATAGCTAACTAGCATGCTAGCATCCAATAACACACAGTTTAGCACCAATACTTGGTTACAACAAACTACCAGTAGTGTGTTAACACACTAAACAGATAATTCGTGTCCGTGTCTAGTTCCTTTCATAACGCAGCAAAAATTAAACGTTGGCTAGCTGGCACATTAACATTGGAAACAACTCTCCACCGTTGCTAAACGTTACCGGTAGCTACCCGCTAGCTAGCTAGCCTCGTGCTTCGCCGGGCTCCGCCGT